TGAGGGATTATTTCCTTTGAAAATCGATCAAGTGAAAGGAGCCTAAATTACTTTTTTACAAGATTTCGAAATTTACCGAATTGTTTTCAGTATTATGATTGGAAATCTCTTACACTCTTGTACTCTTTACCATAGCGCTATTTATTCATTATCATTATTATTCTTTGAATCTTTTGTTCCACCTGAAATCATGCACATGATAGATGACCTCCGTCATGCTGTATGCTAATATTAACAATTGCAATCAAAGATCAGGTTGAACTTAGGCTTTCTCTTGTTTGTGGTACTTTGGGTGCATTGAACAGTGAAGCGACAATATTGTATTATACTCAGAAATTACTAAGCTTACATTTCGAAGCCAAGATTATTTTGTTGGCGCGTTTCTTGGTAAAAGGCGTATTGAAAGATTTTTGAATTGCAGACTGTCTGCCAACTTTGTCGTTAATACAATGCGCGAGCGCATGAGGGGATCGAAAGGTTGTTTTGGTATTATAAATGCAAATAGTTTTGATGATGCATAAAAGCTCTCTTATATGGATTTAGCCTCCATTAGCACCTAAAGTTAGTGATATGTTTCTGTAGTTCAATATAAGAGGAAAAACAAAGCTAGAAAATACTAGTTATCTAAAAATTTCTGACACTCTGTGTATACACAGACGATTACTTGCTATTGTAAGACACTTTTGGTTATTTTTCCTTTGGGAATGATTGTTTTCTCCACTGCTAGCAGGTTCGCCCTATTCGCTAGGACTCAAACAATCAAACAACAAAAATTCATTCATAAAGACTAGAAAGAGATTGTCAACCATTTTCGTGCAGAGTCGGAAACATCGTGGGTTTGTTACACGAAAAAGACAAAGCTTACCAGATTAAGGTTTACCCCAGTTCTTGAATGCAGCACTTATAAAATCACCGCAATTCTCGCTTGATCGAAGGTTAATTCTTGAGACAATCACGAGTAAACTTTACAAAAATAAGATAATGCTCAGTCAACGTGCAGGTTCCCACGTGGAACTGAATAGAGTCCTCACTGCATGTGCATATTCCGACGGATTTTTGATCCGTAAGTAAAGTAAAACGCCAAATTCTATAAGTTCGCAAGTTACAGTTCCCTAGAAGTCTACCAGGTAGAATTTCTTTGCGAATTCTTACGACGATGCTCTCGTTCGTAGGTAGAGATGTATGTCACGCAAAGATGTTTTGAACCAAACCGCACCTCTTTGTTTTGGTTGAGTGACAAATAGACAGGATGGACTCGTGGCATATGGACTTGGACTATGGAACGAGATGAAGATAAAGAAAAATATGACACAAGGAAAACGGAACTTAAAAAAATGTGGGATATTATGTTGTATAAAATTTAAGAAAAGCAGATTTGCAAGAGAACTAGTAGTTCAACGGCAAACTCTATATTTTTACCATCTTCCCGCAACGACTAAATAGCTACTGAATTTTTATTGCGGTAATGAGTGCATATATTTCTCTGCTGTGCAGGGTGATTATTTTTTACGGTGATTCAGATAAAAGTCAATACTAACAATGTCGCTCAAGATCGCGACTGCTGTTCAAATTCCCGTCGAAAATTCAAATCTTTTAAGTCATTTGTTTAACTCTCGTCTAGAAAGAGACCAGAAAATTTTACAGATGGGTGAAGAACCGATTGAAATTAAGACTGTAGGCATAAGGTCTCAACCAAGGTTTAAACAAATCTTGTGCACACGAGGCGCTTGTAATAAACTTTCGAGGGCGACAAGCCGTCTCAGTATAAGCCTTGTTTTTAAACCTTATTTATCCGGCATTTGAATAATCGACCGCCAAAAAACACAATATCGATGAGCTGTATTCTGGAATGGATAAAACCTCCCCTTTTTTCAACAGCAGAAAAGGGAAGACAAACACTATAATTCGGTAATTGGGTTCTCGAATGCCGATTTCTACTCAGAAAAATTAGGTCACGTTTCAGGTGAAAAGAGAAAAAACATATGCTTTTAAGTAATAAGTTTAAAAAAGAGGAAAATAAAAGGAAAAGAAAAGGCAAAAAAAATTATAAAAATAAAAAGCTTGCTACCGCCTAGAGTCGATCCCTCGACCTTTCAATTGCCGAGAAAAGCACAATTCACTGCGCAGAGTATGCAAATGTAATTTAAAATTGGTAATGTGCTTTCAGCGAGTGGACCAAAATTTTCAAAATGCGAAGTCAATTCAGTGGCCTCGGTATTTTATCCTTCCATAATTCATTTCCGCGTTTGACGGCCCTCAGCCATTTTGACTTTCACGTTTGTTCGCATCGTTTGCATATGGTGCTTTCCTGAGAAATAAGTAAATGGGGTAAGTTTTTAAAGAAACTGTGTCGCTGCGTTGGTGGGAGAGCATAACAGGGTAATTTAGTATTATCAGCTGAATTATAACTTACATTGGCCACCGTAAAGAGTTTCAAAGCTGACTTTTCGAACGTTAACCCTTCGTCGAAGCTTCCACTGCTTTTCTGAGGGTCGAGCTAAATTTTATCACGGAAATGGTAGTTTTGATTTTAGTTGCGCAATTGTTACATTTATCACAGCATTCAATGACCTGACACGGTTTGATGCTACTCTAGTTTAAAGATTTAATGAATTAATGTAACCGAGAAGTTACGACCAGGTTCCCATGTGAACTTTAATATATTCAATGACTTGTTTGCTTTGAGCCTTGCTTAGTTCGGGTAACTTTTTTTCCCGGTCGGTAACATGTCACGGCTGCACCACTGGTTTCATGAGTGACATAACCCTCGAAAGCTTACAGCTACATCATCTTTAGCTCTGCAAAATAAACCCTCGATCGATTTGCCTTGTATTTAAAGGACCTTTTTTACTAAAAGCGGCATTTAAAATATCCACTTGTAGAGAATTGAGCCTCGTAAAAGGATATTTGAGACCCAGGGTAAAAACAAAGAGCACTGTAAACTCGTGTACCTATTAGGTGCCTACTTTTTATTTTGAATTGAACCTTGAATCCTACTTATTCAGATTAAATTTTATTTTGAATTATATTTTTTGAATTATATTTTTTGCAGTTACCCTTGTGACCACGCATATTTTGGTTATTTATTTCAAGCACTCTAAAGAACAATATAAAAAAAATAAGAAAGTTCCTGTTGGTTGACCTCACTCCTACCGGTCTGAAACGATATTTGCCCTCAACAAGTAAGCTAAAAATTTCAAATGCAATGTACAAAAGCCACGGCTGGAATTAAATACCAGTAACAATTTGATATTTCCTATGCTCAACTAAGTGCAGCTGGTTTTAAAATGAAATCCAATCCAGTAAAATGGGAAACTATGCATCTCAGTATAACATATCCGATAAAGATTAATGAGAAAAGGATACTTCTGTCTATTTATTTTTTTAGAGGGGCCATCATGCATCAGTTTGTGACTCGCTCCGAGGGCCGACGAGATTGTCTTCAGAAATGGTATTTCTGTGCTACAATTTGTTGCTTCCGCGAAAGTATCCTCGTTGCATTAGAAATAAAAAATCGCGCTTTCCAGCAGTAAGTTAGGTACTCGTGCCTACAAAGTATGCCTATCATTCGAGCTATAGGTAGATACATGTAGCTGTAAACAGTACATTAAGCGCTAAGATGTGAACTGAAGACAGTTGCAGACACAAGACTTACCGTTTGATGAGTCACAACAAGTCACGGAACTTAAAAGAACTTGGTAACATTTGTTCGAGGACGCTTAAATATTCCAACGAGCTGTCGAGGTTACTGTTTAAAACGACGCTATTTTTGTGTTCAACCATTTGCTTTTCTATATTCAGTGTGTACCTTGCTGTTTGGTCAAATGACTAAGGATCGAGATATTGTTTACGCCCAGGCTCTGCCCTTTCTTGTACCCGTCTGAAAGCCTAGGCATTTTGCCAACGAAACTGAAAGCTTATACAGCGTTCAATTTCACCAGCAGAAGATGTCAAACCTCAATATCTATCAGGAATACAATTGTGTCAATAATCTTGAGATCAGCGTAAACAGAAACGGGCCAAAGTACGCATGGGTTACCAAACTGGCTCAGAATTTGTATCTAATTTTGGGCATGCAATAGGGACCCGATTGACATAAAGGTATTATTAGAGTCACTGTTGTTAATCGGCTTTCTAAAGGGTCTACAGGAGATAATTATAATTTGCATGGGCATATTCACCCCCTGGAGAAGACTTTTGATTTTTTCACTCCTCCTTCAGCTCGTTTTTTAGTTGTGTAGATGTCTCCCTGACCCATGATTTCTTTGTAATCATTTATAATGAGAAGGCAATGTTTTCTAATGACTGAAAAGTTCATATGTCACGCAATAGCTATGAAATTTAGGCAAATTTGTATTCCTCTTGATTTACCTTAGTCACTTAGCCGTGCGTGTAGTTTTCTTACCAAAATAATAACTAGGCTAGTGCAGTTATAGACAATATGGTTCCATTTTCTTCCGTACGAAAACCGTAAGCCTAAAATGAGCAATATCGCACGTTTTCGTGGGGCCCTTGCTTTCAATCCTCATTCACTAACAGAACCACCAGGTTATACTACTTATTATAAAATGAAAAGGGCAACGGGACTTTCCGAGGTGTCAACCTATACTAGATCCAACCTTCAAATTTAATCGGCCGTTTTTTCATTTCGAACGAAAGAGGAATACCGACTGGTCACGTGATAAACTGAGTTTTGGCGATCCCCTAGTAAAGGCCCAGTAAAAGGTAAACAAAATGAAATAAGTGATAGAGACTGTCATCGAGACAAGTAAGGCAGAGTTGGTAAGCAAGTATCTGTCGAGAATTGTCGTCGAGCTTGCAAATCATGGATTGTTTCTGTTGCCTTTTCGAAGGAAGGTGGACAAGCGCGAGTGGAAAAATCCACGAGACACTCACGCGTGCTTTCACGTTTCAGCTTTTGCCTCGTTTTGAGACAGAGGCCAGTGAGAGTGTGGCGCCAAATATTACCCAGAGCTCAAATAGTGCTTTTGATATATTGTCACGTTTTTATGAATATTTTATCATTTACATTATTTCTCCTATTGAAACGAGGGGTACAATAGAAATGACAACAAATCTTATACCATCATCATAAGACCACAAGAAAAATGGTAGGTTTGTTTATGTTCAATGCTCGATGTTGTTCGCACCATCGCAACCGTTTCTCTCGTCTCTCGAAGTGAAGTTCGGCAATCTTTCGTTCTGACTCATTAGTCTCTTTCGGAAGAAGTATGATTGAGAATAAGGAAATGAACTTGGTACTTTCGGTTTAGAAAAGCTAATATGATTAAGCGTTCTTTCGTACACTACGGACCGACTTTTCCTTCTTTTATTGATTTATTCAAATGAAAATAAACGAAATTATGTCCAGTTCTACTGTGGGTTCAGCTAGAGTTGATATTGATGCAAGCTTTGCAAAATACTGCATTGGCTAATAGTTGAAGCACAGACATTTCACTGTGCTCTGAAATTTTTAAGTTTTTCTGTATCATGAACCTGTCATTCATGAAAATATAGCCGTTGGTAAAGCATAATATACGTTGATCAGGGAAAACATTGGTCTAAATAAGTGACTACTACATAAATAATTATTATGGTGAACGTGAAGTCTGTTCTTTCATTGTTTATATTTAACAGGCTTTGTTTCATGCGAATCTATGCCTAGTCTTGCTGCAATTCGATAACATTGAAATCGCTGAGATGCATAGTTTCCCATTTTATTGGATTGGATTTCATTTTAAAACCAGCTGCACTTAGTTGAGCATATGAAATATCAAATTGCACCCACGCCAAATTTTGATCGTTCGCTAAAGAGAGATAAGCTTACTTTTTGAACCTAAAGAAAATGGCAGTTAACGTTTTTTATTTCCTCGGTACATTAGGTGTTTAAGAACTTAAGATTTAAAATATCCCTTTATTAAAAGTTCAGAGACGTTATTTTGATGCACAATTGTGTATGTTTCTGTTGTTACTTTGAGCTTTTAAGTTTTTCGTTATGTTAAATTAAATGTTGATTATTTATGATGGATAAAATATGCAATTCAGCTTTAAAAGGGCCAATACTAATATTGCTGCCTGATTGATTTTAAATTTGATTGACAATGGAAGGGATTAAAAGGAATTTATTTCAGACAGTCTTTAAGTCTCTTGTGAATGCGTAACGATTATAATTTTTGAGGGGTAACTCAGCTCATCCAATAAATTTGTGGACACTGGTCCTATCTTTTTTTTCATAATAGTTAAACGATGCCATGACCTGTGAATACTGTGTGTTGATCATGTACTTTCTATCTCAGAATATTTGAATTATATTTCCTGAAGGCAACTTTTGATATTTACATTTTGTCAGTCACAGATCGTTGGTTTTCATTAAAGATATGGGAGCATTGTTCTGGTCCAAATATCTGGAAAAATTTTATTAATTACTTCTGTTATTCAAAGTAAACACCATTAACTAGGTTGTTGCTTATTTGCAAAAGGGTGAGGCAGACAACTATTAAGTCCCACCGACTTTTTAAGCAAGTCTTTCTTACTTGGCATAAAAGTGGAAGGCAAGCCCAAAAATTTGAGCAAAATGAAGGTTTAAATTATAAAATCTACTATTCTATTTATATATAGTCTTACAGGCTCAGCTGAGTGTTACAAAGTACTTTCCATTATAGGGAACTACTTCTAACCACTTCTGCACTTAGACATCTGTTCAAATATTCTTCTCATTATTCTTTGTTCATTTCCTATTAAGAGATTCTTTAGTTTTGTATTGAACAACTATTGAAACGAACCTTTGAATAATTGCAGTAACGAATCATATAGGTGAATTAATCATGTATACCTGAAAACCATTCCAAACTTCAGGAAGAAATTGCTGTTTTTCAAAATACAATGCGAGGAAATCTAATTGTGAGTCTCATGAGCTTTGAGTTTAGTGCTTGTAACAATAATAGAAAACTTGTTTGTTTATTTTGTAATCACTTACAGTAACTTTTGTTTTGTTTTGTGTGTTTTTCTGTAACAGTTGTAGTTCTCCATTATAACAAGGTGATGGATTGCACTGAGGATTCTTGCCATGACAAATCTTTAGAACCATTCTCTTTGGAAGGCAGTGGTCTAGACAATGAAACAGAGCCTATTTGTAACCAAAGAACTAGCACTCCTACCAAAAACATGTCCCTTCTTCACAGTGAAGTTTTAGTAACTACAAATGGACAGGTATCAAACCAAGAGGCTGTGTTGTCTCCTGTTTTAAATTCTGGGTGTCAATCTAACACACAGACTCATGATCAGGATCAAGAGAGTTTTTCACAAGAACAAAGTTTTCACTCCCTCAGAGAATATTCAACCCAGGAGAATTCAAGAGAAGAGTCCCAGTCACTTTATACCTCGGCATCGTCTAATATAAATGACACAGTAATTGCAGACAGTTTCAGTGCAGAGAAAGAGAATATTCTGCACCTACCTAAGAAAGAAACTTTACACCAAGTGACCTTTAGTCCTGAAAATCTTAGTAAAACTTCTGCTGAAGACAACTCCTGGGCAACTGCCCAGGGCTCATTTCAAGATGATCCTGATGTTGAGGATGTGACTCTGAAACAAGAGCCAAGTTATTTGTCAGAAGAATCATTTGATGAATCTGTGGATCATTCTTTTCAGGAGAAGGACATTGTCAAAAGATCTGGTGATTTCATGCAAGATTTAAATGATTCAACATACAAAGAAATTGCATTTGCTTTCATGAATGACCAAAATTTGCAATATGAAAAAAATGGTGCCAAGGAAATTGCTGAAGGAACAAATCATGCAGAGGATATGGACTCTCCTGATTTAGAACTTTTGAATGAGATCTGTGAGGAGGCCACCAATATGACAATTAAAGAGGCCTTGATATTTTCTTTAAATCCAGGAGTACGAGCTGGATTAAGAGAGGGTAGATTGTCACTAAATGAGAGTGAAATATTAGCCCTGGAACAGTACTGTGAAACTTTTATTGATAATTTGATTTCAGAGCTTTTGGATGGACAGTGGTCAGAGAGAATTAACAGTGAAATTCATGAGCAGGTGCTTCTTGATAGCAAGGTCTTAGTGGCTAAAAAACTCAGCAATCTTGATTTAGAAACATTGAAATTGAACTGTGATAGATTTGTTCGTAGTGTCATCACAGAGTCATTGCATGATGCTAGTTTTGCAATCCACACAAGGGACACTAAACCAACTGAAATTAATGGGGGAGAAAAAATGAGTTCACTTGATCAAAACACCATCCAAGAACTTCTTCCAATTTTCAAAAAATCTACAGCCATCCAGGATTATATCGGATTTCTTTCAGCAGACATTGTTAAGTCAGCATTGGCAAAGTTGTCTACTTCAGAATCCATAGCAACCAACAACGATGAGAAAAATGGTCAGTTAACATTGAATAACAATAGCACATCACACATCAGAACAGGCGCAGAGGAAGCAGGTGATTCTTCTGAATGTGAAGAAGCATTATTTGATGAAAAAACAAAGACTGACTTGAGGAAATCTCAGGGGAAGTATACAAACAGTGGAGATCAAGGTGATAAAACAAGAACTGATATTGCACCAATAGGCATTGATGATAATTATGAGCCACACTATGAGGGAGAAAGAGAGGAGCTTTCAGACAATGAGCAGATTTTTTCTAGCAGTGTAGGTGGTGCTTTAGAGACATCACTGGAGTTTGATCCAGATGGTGGTATGTGGGACGAAGGGGAAATGTTCACAAACTTGAATTCATTGGATGCAGGTGTGTTCAATTTTTATTGAATAAAGCTATTTTTAAACAAGTTCATACAGCATGTTAGTTTATGCAGGATGCAAATTAAATAAATGTAAAACATTTGATTTGTGTTTTCCGTTAGTCACAAATTGCAAAATGGACCCATGGGATTTTAATGAGCATTAAGTACCCAGAGGTGTAAGAAGGGTGATTTTGTTTAAAACTTATAGAAAAAATTATTGCTGCGGATTTTAAAGACTTTTTTAATTAACTGAGAATGGTCTTTATAATTTTGAAATAATATGCTACTTCTGCTCTGAGATATTTGAGTTTTTTTATTATGCAAATGAGGAAACTGATGGTATCATAAATAGATGTTGACTAGGGTAGTAAATTACAAAATCTGCTATATCTTGAGAAATATGTTTACAAGCAATGTTCTCCAAACTTGGCATCACAACTTTACAATAGAAGATACACACCATTTGCACTCCTACTGAAAAACATGTCACTTCCTCACAGCAAAGTTTAAGTAGTAACAAATGGACAGGTATCAAACTAAGAGGCTGTGTTGTCTCCTGTTTAAAATTCTGTTTTAGAACCAATAGTATTACCATGATTATATCAGAACATGAACCATCTTGTATCTTTAATGGAGGTCACTCTTTGAGTAAAGTGTAAAAAAAAAGTCATGTTAATTTTCAGAGCGAAAACAGAAAATAGTGCTTAAAGAATTATCATTTGATGAGCATGCTGATGTTGCTGGAACAGAAGTGTTGGCACCTGTCTTCCTTGCAATTGCAGAGGAGAATGATGATGATAGTGAATTTCAAGGAATGAGAAAGAAAGCCCAGTCAATTGAGAACTTGTGCACTGTCATCAACGAAAATGGTAAATTAATTGTTTTTGTTCATTACTGTAAATGCCCCAATCAATAATGATATATTCATTTTTGACTTAGTAAAATGCTAGATCTCAAATTTTAATCTCCAGTAGTCAGTATGTAATGATTATAATTATGAAATTATTTGAATATATATCCTTTATTAGTATCATTTTGTTGGACATTGTGGTACACGTTTGGGGCTAAAATGGAGATTTTACATTTTAGCCACTTGCATGTTGGCATGATTGCTCATACTGTTTTGTTGTCATCTTTTTTCAGTTTTTATTTTTTAAATGCCCTCCATAGGGATAGTAATAGTAATAGAATTTATGTTCTTGGGCAGGAATATGTTTCAGGCCTTTCTCAAAGTCATTTCAACCCTCGCCAAGTGTCCTGGGCCAAAATGACACTGAGTCTGGCCCAAGACATATGTCAGTTAACATAAGTTCTATTGTTTTATTGTTTTTAATTTATTGTGTGTCTGATAAACTACAGAAAAGGGCAATATATACAGAATTGTCACATAAAACTTTCACATTTTATTAAGAAGCATATATTGAAATGCAGTCAGTTATAAGAAGCTCTGATAAATTAATTTTTTATCATTATTAATTGTAGAGAAACATTTTTCAGACAATCAAAGGCAAAGAAGTTATTCAGCTCCAAAGAAAATCACCCATCTTTTCCAAACTGACATCAGAACTGAAGAGGAAAACAGTGATAATGCTGAAGACAGTGAAACTGAAGTTGAGGAACAAGAGTATGAGGGAGATGAAAGTGAGACTGAAAATGCTGATGAGCAAGATGATGATGAGACAAGGGTGGAAGAAGGTATTCTTTCAAAAGCTCAGCTAGAAGCTGACTCTTCAGATGAGAACAGGTTCCGTTGGCATACTGTTAGCGTACATGGCAGGGACAAGATACTTGACTTGAAGCTCCTGGAGCCATACATGAAAGTCATCTCTCATGGAGGTATTTTCATTTATCTAGTGGTATATTTATATTATTATATTTACAGATTTAGCATAATAATTATGACTTAGATATACACTCTTGATTGAAATGTGTGGTCAAATTGGCTGGGAATAATGGCCAAGCTTGGTCAATAAACAATTTACTATATGGGGAAACAATTCAAGGAATATTTTTGAGCTGGTAAGAGAGGCCCAACTTTTCATCTTGGGTAGATGGCAATGTGAGACGAAAATATGATTGGACCTGTCTGTGTTTGTTGTTAATTATGTTGTGTTAATGGCTTGGTTTATAAGTGGTTATACTTAATGTCTAGACAGGTTACTTAAGTAGGTGCTGTTTACTTGAGTCTCAAGGCATCATTTCCACAATCTATTGGTTAGATCAAGTGTGTTTATGTTGCATGGCAGAGATGGCCAGAAAGGGACCATTGAAATTATAATTATATACTCTTCTGATTCATGATTATATTTTGCTTTCCACACCTGGTTGGGGTTTTATGGAAACCAGACTACAGGTTACCACAGATGTGCAGCTGAAGCACGGTCTTGAATTAATATTCTAGGCTTGAAAATCTTGATTTGGGAACCAGGGAATTAATTAAATTGGCTGTAAGTGCACACTGACCTAGTGCACTTACTGTCTAGCTTTACTGTTCTGATACTCTTCCTATGTGTACTAACTAAATTTTCATTTGCCTTACTTAATTAAAAAAAATAATAAATTAAAAACAAAGCAAATGTTTTTTTTTTCTGAAATTTCAGGTTATTTCAGTGATACTAAGTCAACCATTGTTGTGATTGCTGCCTGTTATCTACCTGAGAAGACTATTAAGAACTATGATTTTCTAATGGAGCAGCTTTTCTTGTAAGTTCTCTGTCAAAAGACATTAAGAGGATGTTAACAGTCCTTCTTTCTTGCTTATTCCTCTTCCCGTGACTGACTGATAACTAGTAATTTTTTGCTTGGGGTTGTATTTTTTCCAGTACTGGTAATCCTTTTTCTCACTTCTGTAGTCTTTGCTTATTCCTCTTTCACCCACCATGAATAAAGGGGGTTAAGTATCTAAGTCAGCAATTTTGATTGTATAAACCTTGATAAATGGTGTAAGAGGAGGCATCAAAAGTTGACGGTTTTCAGAATTTCATTTGGGTCCTGACTCAGAATGTATTCAGAGACTGTTAAAACTGGTACTGACATTGAGGGTAAATAGGTAAAAGTAATAGAAGTCTCTGCTATAACACTTTCGTGTTTCTTTTTAATTTCTCCATTTTTTTTCTTGTTTATTACTGTTATTTAGTTATGTCATTAGCACTTTGGAACTTCTGGCAATCCATGAGGATTACTATCTGGTGTACTTGAACGGTGGAACAAGACAGCAAAACATGCCATCTGTAACTTGGATGAAAAGATTCTACCAATATATTGAAGGAGGGTAGGAAACTAGAATTTTTTTCTGGTAATTAGTGGGCAAAAATTCAGGATCAAAAGATATTATTACATCATCTTCATACTTCCAAAGGATGGAAGAAGGCATTACTCAAACAAACATGTCACAAACTTATTCATATCATTGATACAATTAGGCTCACTAATGGCCCTTGAAATGGTGATCTTAAAATATGACTCTTTTTTTTTATTCTCAATTTAGCCTGAAAAAGATGAAAGAAATGTTCATTGTGCATCCCAGTTTTCGACTCAAAGCAGTTATTACACTTGCCAAACCACTCATCAAGTAAGATACAATTGAAATGATGTGTAATGTATTTTTACTATTGGAGTACATTTATAGTGTGTGTTATAGAAATGGATTTTTAGGGAAAGTTCATTTCACAACACAGAATAACTGAAGGCAGATACATGGCAGATACATCACATCATGTGTCAAATATGTTACCTACTACTTCTGTAATTTAGAATGTCTGTGAATTGCCTCTTTTTCTTGCAATTTTTTTCAGTGCCAATTTTTGGAGGAAACTAAGTTTCATAAGCACACTTAGTACTCTTTCAACCCTTGTTCCAGTAGATTACATTTACATCCCTGATGAAGTGATGAGGTATGTGGCTGCTTTGTCAAGTTCAGAGTAAACAATATGTTAACAGTGAAAACAAGCAATTCATAGTGCAACACCTTGCAACCAACAATCAAGCTAGTTGTAGAGGGAGCTGCAACCTTGGACAATCCTCTTTAGATAATTTCCATCAATTTCTGCACATGCATTTGATAGCTAAGTGGTATCAAATCAGTACAGAGTTGATGATTCAATTGTGCTGTGGTCTGAAAATCTTCATATTCAATTATTTACTGAAATAGATAATGACACAAAAAAGTACTCTGAGTGAAATTGCCTGTTGAGTCAATCCTTACAGTAATTGTTGTCACTATTCTCAATACTAGAATGGAAAAACTCTTGAACTTTTAATCATCTTTCACTCCCAAACCCAAAGGAAGGAGCACCCTGAATCTCCTCTTTGGCATCTTCCCTATGCATGCCCAGCTTGTTATTAAAATGTTATTCAACTTAATAACTGTCATGGTTTGATTTTCTCCTTACTTTAGAGTTGACCCAACTTACAGACAAGTGCACAATAGGTGAAAGCATTCAACTCTTGGGAAATTACTCTGGGATTTATTAAATGAAAGGATTTTTGAGACATAAATACATTTAGTTAGTGTACTAACCTTGTAATAAAATTATGACATACCTTCACTTAGCTTAACTAATTGTTGGTGAATCTGATATTAAGATTCTTATTCTTATTCTGAAGCTTCTTGTTAGCTTACTGAGGCAGGTCAACCTACCATTGTTTAATTAACCCTTTAAATCCCAAGATCTGATCATCAATTTTCCCCTTTAGCTCCTTCATGATAACTGAATTTGAATTTTTTTCATTACCTGTTTGTTGGATAATGTGTGGAAATTAAAACAGGAAATTACATCTTAATCACTTATGGGAGGTAATGGGTTAAGTGACTGAATTTTGATATAAGAGGCAAATACAGATGGCTTTCTTTATACTCCTTATCATTTGTTAGTATGAGCCTTGTTTGTACTTTTGTTTGCAAAAAGGTTCAGTTGTGCAGTGTTAGCAACACAAGCTATACTAGAATAGTGGTTGTCATATTCTGTGTATCCCAGTGGCTAAAAGCTATTATACTGGAACCTAATTTATTTTTTAATTTTGCCAAATATTTCTTTAGCACATTACTGGCAAAAATAATGATCAATCCATTGGAAGTTACATTTAGTTATTAAAACCTTATTTATATTTTTAATATATTTTAAATCACCTTTACTGGTAGTTTTCTATGTTTATTTGCATGGAAAAATACAAGTTGGTTAAAGTAGGGTTTTTATGCCTGCCTACACACAAAACCTAGGACTGTAAAAGGGAGTTTTTCTGATCCACTTCTATATAAAAGGTCCAATACAATCAAGATGAGAAATTGTGAATGGTTTTGAAAAAAAAAATGAAAAAATTTTATCTGATTTGTACATCTTGGTTTCAGAAATTGGAGAAAATATTTTTGATTACTTCACAGTAGAGGGTTTTCTTTACTACTGGGGCTTGTGTACATTTACAACTGTAACATAAATCAGATAGTCTGAGAAATAATGCAGGAGTTAACGTAGTGCATTTTGAGGCAGATGTATTAGCACAGAAAGTGTTCTCAGTACAAATGTTCAATATTTCTGCCATGGAATCAGAGTAAAATAGATATGCTGTACAAGCAGTTTCTGTGTAACTGACAGTTACAGTTAATGTAGCAGTTATTAAGATCAGAAAAAATTTCTTTTCAGTTACATTTGAGAAAACATGTTTAACCCATTGTAAAATTTTTTTCTTGCTACAAGTGTGGGCTAGCTCATTGTTGAATCTGTACTTGATTTTTTATTACAACACCGGAAATAATTTTTGCAGTTAGGTATCAGCTACTGAAGGTGTTTTTGGTCACTGTAGATCTTGTTGTGGTTGCTGTGCCAAACTTTATATTTGGGTTTGTTCTTTTGAGAAACATGAAATATTCAATCACAACTTTGATATATTATGGTGGAGTTTTTGTAACATATGTATCTCATTTTAGTTTGTAATTTGCACTAATATTAATGTTTGTCGTTGAGAATAATTTACTCAGCACCTGGACATATACGTATAATTGTTCAATCCTGTGCATCACTAACAGTAGTGTTATAACCCTTAAAAATACTTCAGCTGTAAGAATGCAGCAAAATTTTTGTTGGTCACTTTAAATTTATTGATTACTAGTACAAAGTCAAAAAATCTGGACTGCTTCTTTATGTCTGAGAGTGGGGATTTTCCACAATCAATAAAGTTACCTAAACTAAGAAAATGTGTGGAAAATCTGTTTTTCTTGAAACTGAAATAAATTTACATTTCATTGTTAATTTCAATTACAATGATAAACAAAATGCCCTTTTCATTTAATTAGTACCTAAAATATTCCAGTTTTTTAAATTCATTTGATGCATGCATGCTCAGTTAAAAACAATAAATGAAAACAAGAAAGGCTTTGGAGAATACCACAGGTACACACATGGGAAGATAGCTCAACTGTGATTGAAAGATACAAGACTCAGTGATCCTTTACTACTCTTACCTTTACTCAAACTGAGGTATGATTAGCTGAGCTGTTGAATTTTAACAAAATCATTCTATGACCTTTGTTTTTTTTTCTGAATTGTTTTTCTTCTGATGCTTCTTTCACCCTACTTGTCATCAGTAGTGACACCTCTTAATCGGGTGTTGTACAACTGCACCCAAATAAAAATTATCATGGCAAAGTGGTGCAAAAGATAAGACTCACAAAATAACCCAGAAAAAAAAAAGAAAGAACTGGCTCAAGTTCAGGAACATGCAAAGAAGGCATGATTCTTTTTTATTTTCATTGCAACTTGTTGGTTTGAAAGATGGCAGGAGTGTTCTGGATAAATCATGAGAACATAATCATGCAAAACCACTACAATCCTAGTTTACTTTTAACATTTGTTTAACAAAAAATGCTCTTATTGGACTTTTTCAGCTCTATCTTTAGATACTATAGTACTGCTTATGCAGACAGATTGGGCAACTTTAGTTTTAAGTGTCCCAATTTGAACAACCCTCCATGTATAGTGTACATTTGTGAATATCATTTTCATCATACATAATTTGCTGACTGCCCCCAGTATTAAATCAAGACTTGGCCTTGAAGACAGGCATTTACATCTAGCAGTTTAATTCAACAAAGATAGCGTCACCAAGGTTTTTTTCTTAAACAATTGTATTAGTTTCACACCATAAGTCTAAACAGAGAAGCCAGGCTGGCCAACCTATTTCACAAATCCAGTTGTAACTCTTAATTAACTCATCAAATCTGTCAGTCTAAAACTTGTGAACCCTATTCTTGGATAACTTTTTCTTGAAAATATGGAGAAACACTTGATTGGGAAAAAAAAACAAAAACAAAAAAAAGCTCACCTAAATTAAGCAGTCTGATAAGACAGTTCTGACCAAATGGTGAGTGCCCATTGACAGCTATAAATCTTAAACACCAGGGTAGCAATCTTGACTTTAAATTGTTTTAATATAATGTTAGGGGACATCAGTGTTTGCAAAAGTGCTCCATCTTTGAGACCCAAGATTTGTCTAGGACCCCAGAAACACTTGCAGCATTACAGACCTAGGCTCAGTTGTTCGAAGGCTGATTAGTGCTAACCCATGGATAAAATATAAACTGAGTTTCTTTTTTTCCTATGTTCAAAAGCCTATGTGGGATAATTTTTTACTTAAGTATTCTTTGTGGGGCATCCAATCACCAAATTGTAACCAAAAAAAAATTATACTGAATTTCATTTTAAAGCTTTCAGATCTGAAAACAAACTTCATAATAACCCTGGATTATATTAACCCAGCTTTGAACAACTCGGCCCTAGATTATAATCTCTCCTGTTACCAATACTACCCTATGTAACTCTAAGCTACCTACAACTGTAACAACCTGTACATGAAAATAAAATTATTTCATTCTATGTATCATTATCAACAACAGTTAAGTCATTTTAATTAGAAAAATAGAACATTTGTTATTCTACTTGAAGGAGGGTAAGTTTATGTGTGGGAGTGATTTCATGGATGGTAGGTTTATATTAGGTTTGGGAAGATTATGTAGGTTTGGACTGATATTTCTAACAGCAGACATTGCTCTCTGAGGTGCAGCACTTATTCCAGCCTAGGAACAAGAAAACAATTTAACATCAACTATGGTAAGAAGTATCAGCAGCCTTGGTAAAGAGTGAAAAGGGAATCAGCTTATCTTCTTAACTTAAGAATACAATCACTTAGTGATGGAAACACTACTGTTAGTGACAGTTAACTACCTGTGACCAACAAACACAGGTCACTGAATTGCTTCCTTGCAAATGACAGCAATCTCTGTAAGATAGACTTGGTGCCATTTTCTTTCCAATTTGAATAAGGATTATGGAAAGAGAGAAATCACAACTTAAATCAGGATCTCTTTTTAAATTACATTAGCAATCTGTGGGTGTACCTACAATTTCTTGTCAACCCAAACATTCAACCAGAATTGCCTGAAGACTGTATGCATGTGCACCATGAAATATGACACTTTTAAAAACAATTACTCATTCATAACTTTGAAGATGCATCTTACCTCTGATTTTTCTAATTTATTCTGTGCCTCAATGTGGGTTAAAATCTCAGACATGTTTGTTTCTAGTACCATGCCACCCATTACAATCTCTTGTAAAATAAAGTGAACCTGTATGAAACACAGAAAAATGCAAATTAAACTAGAGGTTGCTTGAATTGTTTCGATCTAAGATAACTTCAAACTACACCATATACACGTCTGCTTAAAAATTTCAAATTGAGCACATAATACATGCTTCTGTTTGCATACCTTGTCCATATGAAATATAAGATCCAGCTCACAGACATTTTCAAAACACTTGTCTAAAGTTTCCACAAATACCTAGAAGAAACAAAAAAGGCCATTAATCATTGATCAAATAAAAATATAAAGGGACATAACCATCACTTTTTCATGGTGTTCACAATACAGTCCAACCTGTATTAAGTGGTCACCCTCTGGGAAAAGTGGGATGACTGCTTAATACAAGTTGACCGCTTATACAAGTGCTGCAGAAAAGGGATACAAAAAAAGAAAAAAAAAGCCATTTCATCCTATAATTGACAGCTTAATGAACAAAAACTCACTCAAAAATGCTATTGACATTGATTTCAGGATTAAATTTCACTTGAAAATTATTCCTAGTTTTATTAGTCTTCTGCTGTAGGTGAACATTCATTAAAGGTGGAAGACAATACAAACAGGCTGTTATGACTTGGTAAAGGGTGACCAGGACTGCTTGATAGAGGTGACTGCTTCATAAAGGAGAAAATTAGGGTACTTAAGAGAAAAAATTTCAGGACTTTGGAAAACCACTACTTTTAAGTTCTCTCAAAATTTCAAAATGATTTTTAACTGTGGCAGTAAATAGGCTTACTCCAAAGTTCAATGTTGAAGCTATGTTGATTTCATATTTCAACTTACCTGTATGAGATCAAGTATTCCTAGCTCACTCTCTGATGAATCCACACAGAACACAAAATAAAGCGTAGCATAATGTCGGTAAATAATCTTGAAGTCAGAACCACCGATCAACCTAAAATCAACCATGACTGTAAGTTTCCAAGGCATTATTATGAAAATTGATCAAAAGCTTTGATCTATTACAAATATATTTCAAAGTAAAATGATACATAACAACTTGCATTTCATTATGCTGTCTAGGGGTCTTAGTGAGAGTGGTCCGGAGAAGAATTGTTGTAAGCATTAGCAAGTGAAGTTTTGATAACCTCAGCAGAATTCATCATCAATGACTCTCAGGTTGTTCAAACATCAATCACCACTACCAACAATAGCCCATCTTGGGTCTACTCTCACTAGTATGATTGGAACACATAATCAAATGTTATTTCTGAGTTCAAACCATTTACTGCAAAGTGACTTCAAGAAACAAAAAACAAACTTAAGATAGCACAAATAAAGTTACTTACGTTCCCCCTTCTAAGAAATTACAAACATTGTCATCCCTTCTTGAGACTATGTGAAATGTTTCTCTTATTATTTGATGTTGCATGTCCTCAGACTGAAACAAAATTAACAAAAGGAGTTGGAATTAGATCATCTTTATGATTAGTAGTAGACCTTCTTTCAAGCAAGGTTCATGTTTATAAGCATGAAATAAAAACTCAAGCATACAAATCAATCTCTGATTCATAAACTCCAAAAACTGCTTTGAATGTGCAAGTTAATTTTGCACATTTGGTTCAGTCTTTACACACTGATATACACACTGGCTTTTTCTTGTTTCTGGAAATGCCCAAGAATTAGCTTCAATAATTTCAAGGTCAAAAAGTTTAATACTCTTTAGGCATGGATACTCATACTGTTCAGTAGCCTGGCTTGAAACTCAGCCAGAGAAAAAAATACTATGTATCTCTATATATTCTTAGGAACTTGGGCTTCTACTGTATAAGACAATGTGAGTAATCAAAACATGATTGCTCTAATAAGCTTTGAAAGTGATCAGTATAGGTGGTTCGATTTCTTTTTATTTCCTCAAAAGAAAAGAGACTGTCCTGAGGACGAAAAAACGATTGTCGTCAAGGATCACTTTTAACACTCAAAGAAAAAATGTTTTTTTTTAAATAGGCTACCCTTGATTCTGATTGCAATTATACATTAAGATATTGAACAACACAAATACGCACAAGCTCCTTGGTTTAAGAGATGTGAATTTGAATCATTTCTACGTTAATTTCTTCTTATTTCATCCAGTTTTCTCCCTTATCAACGGCATTCTAGGGTATTAATTGACGCAGAGCTAGTAAAGAAGAAGGCAAAGGCTACTAAAGAAGGCAGGCTACTCACATAATGCACAAAAAATTTCGTCATCCGAGGTTTCCCATGGTTGTTGAATACAAGTATCGCCTTAATCATCTTAAAAGCAGAAAAAGACGAATAAAGACTCGCTATACAGTTTTCGAGTTCGATCACCTGCGCTCAAGATGGCCGCCACAGTACTTCCCACAATCCCCTGGACACTTTGTATAGCTAATCCAGGTCCAGGACCCGACGGTTCAAGAGCTATGTAACCCTGCCGTATTCTTTCTCTGAAGTAACATTGATCACACTCCAGAGGCGTGGGCAAAATAAAAGCCGTATTAGGTTTTTTTTTGGGTTTATTTTGTATTACAGTCTCATAAAAAAAACATCTTTAACCCTTTAAACCTACTGCGAGTTAGGAGTATGGATTCTTTTATACTTTATTACTAATATTAATTGAGTCTGTTCTTAGATTTCCCTCTTCAAATGATCCAAGATGAGGTGAACCAATCATTGCTGCCCAGCAATTTGCCACCGAAAACAAACACAACAACAACAACAATCTATACTTGTCTGGTGCATAGTTAGCTGATGCTCATCTGGGCAGGCCAACTTCATAATTTTGACCAATTTCAAGTCAAATAAGAGAATCTAAATTACAGTACATTAATGATAATAAAAACAATGCAAAACAAGAGAATAGCTGTTTACAGACAACATCATCAGAATGGTTTGAAATATGTTTCACTGGGGTGCTGTGTCATGGTTGCATGCTCACATCCTTTTCAAAGAGAGAGAGAGAGAGAGAGAGGAGACAGCAGAAGAGGTGGATCAATGCAAGCTGTGTCATTTTAACATCTTTTGAGACCCTTCTACTCAACCAATAACAAGATTAACAAGTTTATTTTACTTCTTACATTCAGGTGAAAAGAACACGCACTGAATTAAACAGGTATTACAACTGTTATGTTGTGATTTTTGATTCTTGACATGACAACAAAGGTTTCGAATTTGTGTTGTGCCCTTCATGTGATCAAAGCTCTCTTGGCAATCATTCTTAAATTAATGTAGGAGACTAATCTCAGACCAGGATCTCAGAGCTTAGCAAGCATCCTTCTGATATATAAACTTAAGCTGTACATCAACTTGAAATTTCCACACAAGGGAAAAAGGTAACCCAAACATCAGTATCTATATTCTCCACACTCCTCTTAATACTTTTCCTTCGATACTGACAAGAAAAATTTGTTTAACAATCAAAGCTTCCTAGGTTAGCAATCATTTCCCCTATTCTATTGATCTTCATGAGTGATACGCCATCACTCTTAGAGTACATAGGGTTAAACATTAAACTGGCTCAACATTTAAGGTGGCATCTAATAAGTCACCAGCACTAGTTAAGCTGCATTTATATCTTTGGAATGTAAGAGAACAGCATGAACACCTATTTTTTTTTACCTGAATTTTGTTGGGGGTACTAACACTATGATATTACTATATCTGACTAACCATGAACTCAGCATTACACAGCAATTTTTACAGAGTTCCTAGACAGCTTCATTTTCTTAACTCTTCAACTCCCATGAGTGACCAAGACAGAATTTTTCCTTACAATATCAATGCAATATCAACCAGATAAGTGATGAGAATAAACAAAAATATAAATTTAGGGATAATTAGCTGATCTAATACTAAATTCTCTGAACTAACATTATAAGGATTGTATGGTTGACAGTAAGGAGAATGACAAATTTGATGTGAGAGTTAAAGGGCTAAGTGCCAATGAGGCTTCCTAGAAGCTTCTCAAAGTTACTTGGCTCAGGCTGTCTGCAAAATAAAGTACAAAAAATTGTCTTTGACTAAGATATTACCCGAGGAAACAGTGTGCACGGTCACTGTTCCAAGATACGAGGATCACATAACAGAGTGAAAGATCAAGGCTAGGACAACGGATCATATGAATTCTGCTTTTCCCTTGACTCCGTCCAGGCCTTAGCTATGGTCCTTTTCATCTCATCATCTCCTTCGTCGTACATCTTCCTCATCAAGTCCATTATTCCTTCTCCAGGATCCTTTTTGTCGTCCACTTTCGGCTGCTCTTTCATATTCTTCAAGTTCTCTGTCACGGTCAAACAAGACCAACTTTCGTCTTTGTCCTTCTTCAAAAGGAGAGTCACACGTCCAGATTTAACTTTCACTGAACTGGATTCGGGAAGAATAGGATGCAACAGATTGATTATCTGAAAATGATAATTCTTTCCTTTCAAACCAAGTACTTTCAACTCCATTGACTTGGAGGTGAATTTCGAAGAGATATTCTCTTCAGGAAGAGTTTCCACTTCCGGCAAATTGATGTAAATTTTCACGAATTTTGGTGATTGATCCCAAGCGTACGACGTGATTTTAGTCAAGGTGACATGCGGTTTCTTCACGGTGGGCTTCGCTGCCCTCTTTTCTTCAGTTTCGATTTCTCGTTCTACGCGTTCCAACTCGTCTTGTAGGATTTTTTTGACACGTGCACGAGTTGCAGTCGAGAGGATGTTCTGAATTTCATCTCTGGTTTCTTTAAGTTCTTGAACTTTCTCCATAATGGAACAAAAATCCTCCAAGAAGAGTAAAATTTGGCTATTTCGTGGCTCAACCTCGTGTGTCGAACTGCAAATTGTAGTTCAAGTTTTCAGGCGTGAGGGCCTTGACACTAGTGCCCAGACTAAACCTCTCCGCGTGACGGAGAAACAAGATCTTCTGGAAGTCATATCGCTGTTGTGGCCAGTGAAAAGGGTTTTGGGAGGATTTCGTGGACAATGAAAAAATGGATTGTCTTACTCGGCGGGGCTATGTTCTGTGTCTTTTTCATTTCTATGTATATGGTGGTGGATCAACTAGGAAGACTGCCAAGTTCACACGAAATTTTCAAAAATGAGGTAACTTAGCTTGAGGGTTTGTGCTGTAGCAAACATTCATTGACTTCACAAATTTAGGAAGGAAAATGATTATAATATTTCCACAAGCACCTGGCGTTATTTACCTTCAGAGTTACTCTATAACCGTTAACATCCTGTGTAAGGTATTTACTGATTCAACAATTTTCCGTCAGGAGAAACCCCCGAATTCCATCTGTTGCCTAGCATGTATTAAGTGCTTTTGTTAGTCTTTCTCAATCGTCTCTGGGCGATACGACAAGCTAAATTTTCATGCGGTTTTCAAACGTTTCTTGTTTTAATTTGATGAAGCCTTCAGAGGTGCTTATACCTTGCCGATCTGTTTATCCACGTGTGCAATTATCATCCTAAGGACCTATGCAAATTGAGCGGAAACTGCACTAGAGACTTTCTTGTTATTCCAAGCTTCTTACAGGTGTTTAAGATGCATTAACGTAGTTAAGTTAATTAGCAAACCAGGACCTTTTTAAATGTCGACATGTGAACAGATGGCTTTTAAAAATTATAAATTCAAGCTTTGATAGGCTTTAGTGCCATATATTTTTCAGCTTTTGAGAAATACTTGCTTTAAATTAGGTTTTATTTACCTCAAATACATTTTCATGTGATGTAATTTTTTTTTCGTCATTGAGGATAGTTCATTTGTTCTGAAGAGAACTGATGTATTGTTTAATCCCACCTGAATTTTTTACTCCATCTTTTCCATCATTTTATGGCAAAAACTCTTGGATGTAAGTCCATAAGACTGTACCTGCTCTAATTAACATAAACACCTTTATTGAATTAGAGGAGGTGTTTTGCACAAATTGTTTTTAGTTGAGTTGATGTCAAAAGGATAAAGTGATAGAGTCCAACTTTGAAATTTAAATATTCCACTAAAATCAAGGGGTACTTTAGACACCATTAATTGACATTATTGGAAATTTGAATTCTTAGACAATGTTATTGCAACTAAATTAACTGAATATGGTGGCAATAATATTTCCAACTCACAAGTGAAACAACTGGAGTGATTCTGAAATAAAGAGAAACATTTGTATTGGACAATTCTGCAAGCAAAGTCTCTCCTATTAATCCTTTAACTCCTAAGATCTGATTGTTTTTTCTCCCCTCTAGTTGTTACACATTTCTTGGTAAATTAGCCAGGAGAATTTGGCATTAGATCAAGATAACAACCTTAAAGTCATAAGTTTGAGTGTTCTCATTACTTTTTTGCTGGATAATGCTTTGATGTTGTATGGAGAAGTTACATGTTAATCACTTCTGGGAGTTGATGGCCAGTTAAATATGGCCTGGAAAATAAAATTTTTGAAGTTTTAGTGGAATAAGATTGAAATGTTTCAAAAATGTAACGATTTAAGTTCAAAATGACCATATAAGCTCTATGAATCATTTAACACAATCATTATCAATTGATATCATCCCATAGTTTAACTTTCTCAGACTTGTAAAGAACTTATGGGACAATCTCGATATGTTAGATGCACATGAAATTGTCCTGAGTTTGTTTACAAGATTACTTCTGCTGCTATCAAAATGCCCCATTTTGTGAAATCAATATTTGGGGGAAATTTTTTTATAGCAAAGGAGACGGAGAATCACTTAATGAGATCTTTAGAGTGATAGAGCTAAGTCATTCTTTCTGGGTTGTTTGAATGCAGGACCATGCTGCTGGAACAGTTCAGCAGTTTACCTGTATCCATTGCTCACAGTGGTCATACTTATAACTCAGTTCCCTGCAGTTTACACCAAGTTGTTTTGGCTTGTGATTCATGTGTATGCCCAGATGTAGATTCAGTTATTCCAGCGAATTCAAGATTTACTAGTCTTTTTACATAAACAATTAAAATGAAAATATATGTTCTTCAGGTTACAAAGCAAATAAAAGAACCTTTGGATTTTCTGGAGAAAGATTTGAATAAACTGCAAGTAGACTTATTGAGATCTGGTAAAATAATTGATGGTTTGCAGAATGCTGTTGATCAATTGAGATTTAATGGTCGAGAACCACCTACTGAAAAGACACAGGATTTGTCACCAGTAAGAAGACCTGCAGTGCCTGCCAGTGACATGGATGACGGCTGTATATTCTCTGGTTCAGCATCAGGAAAATCAGCCAATGTGAAGGTGGTGTGAACAGAATTAGATGTACCTTTCATCATGTTTGTTGTAATAATAGTATTGTATTGTTTCCTATGCAAAGAGAAGTCAAATGATGTTCAAGTTAAATTTGTTTACCAATTGCAGAGCTGTACTTAGTAAGTCTCATGCATTGTGCTCTAGACTCACATAAATGAATTCAATCTTATGCTCTCATGCTGAAACTATTATTTCTCATTTGAGATTTCTGGTATAAACTGTTGATCTTGAGATAGTAGACCACTGCTTTAGTCAACTACCTAAGAATGATATGAATTAACTGTCTTAATGTAAAATTTACTACTTGTTCCCTCTGTACTTGCTTCAAACACTTCAACAGTAGAAATTCTCATACAGAGCCACCTTAACACTTATTGCACATGTTCATATGCTGACTGCAGACATGTAGCATGGAATTTTTCCACACATGTTGAGAATAAAAGAACACATGTCCTAGCAATCTTCAGTTAGAATATTAAGTTGAAACATTTTGTTTTGATGCAGATGTTAGACATGTTTGATGTGATGCCATTTGATAACATTGATGGCGGTGCATGGAAGCAAGGTTGGAATGTGCAATATGATGACACAGCATTTGACAAGGAGCCTTTAAATGTGTTTGTTGTACCTCACTCACATAATGATCCAGGTACACTTTTTGAATGTTTTGGCATAGTTGTTGGTAATATTTTATGTTTATTTGTTACTTTTTTGTTGTATTTTTACACAATTGACTCCTACAAGTGCTCAAAAGCTGATTGTCTCTTGGTAAATGTACTGGATAGTTTTAGAGAGATTATGTTGGGTTTTCCCTAATGCTTCAGACAAATTATCATGATTGTTAATTCTTTAAAAAAAAAAATTACAAATCAAGCTAGTTTGAAATCATTGATAGTGTCATTACTATCATCAACTGAAGGCTATAAATCTTCATGACAATATTAAAATCCTGGTACATCTACACCTGAAAGCACTAATGTACCAAGGCTTTACCACTTCCCCTTCTGTTCATAGTTTACTTACACTATGCAAACTATCAAGTGCGGTGTCCCTCAAGGTTCGATTTTAGGCCCTCTATTGTTCATTCTATACATAAATGACCTCCCTAATGCCTCTGGATTAACAGACCCTCTGCTTTTCACTGATGACACCAGTATCTTTTATTCTCACTCAAACCCAAATTGCTTAGAATCCGTACTTAATGATGAACTCCAAAATATTGATGTCTGGCTAAAATGCAATAAGCTCTCAGTTAATGTAAGGAAAACTAAATACGTAATTTTTAAACCCAGACAGAAGAAATTTAACTCCAGCATTTCTCTCTCCTTTGGAGGTAAACCCCTACAACAATCTAACATAACTAAATTCCTTGGGGTCTATATTGATGATCATCTCACTTGGAAACACCATATCAGCTATGTATGTAAACAAATCGCTAAATCAATAGGTATTATATTCAGGTCTCGCTTTTTCCTATCCTCTACAACCAAGCTCACTTTGTACTACACCTTAATTTATCCTTATATCGTCTATTGTAACTGTGCCTGGTCGTCCACATACGTATCTAACTTAAATAGAATTTATTACTTGCAAAAGCGAGCTGTGTGGGCTATCACCAACTCAGACTATCGAGCCCATTCCGCTCCTTTATTCTCCAAACTAGGAATTTTAGATATTTTCCAAGTCAATACTTTTGAAATCGCCAAATTCATGTTTTATTAATAGAAATAACTTATTGCCTCCTTTGCTTCTCAATCTTTTTGTAACAAATAGCCAAATTCACAACTATGGTACCAGAACAGCCAGTAATTATCGAACGCATTTGTGCCGCACAAATCTCAAGCAATTTACAATTCTTTACCAAGGTCCTAAAATTTGGAACTCTCTTCCTGTTTCAGTCACTCATTTGTCAAACCTTCTTAGTTTTAAGACAAAAATGCAAGAGTTTTTACTTAAATAATACTTGAATTGGCCTAGCCGCAATAAATATGAATTAAGCATCTTGATGAGTGTTTGCTTCTTTTTAACAGGCTGGATCAAGACTTTAGATCAGTACTACACACAGCAAACCCGACATATTCTTGATAATGTTGTTGATGCACTTGCAGTAGATAAAAAGCGCAAGTTTATTTGGGCAGAGATGTCATATTTGTCAATGTGGTGGAAGGAAGCTGATGAGAAAAGGAAAAAGCTTGCTTTAGAGTAAGAAGCATTTTATATCAAATCATTTTGTGTTCATAGTACTACATAATATGTATGTTCATGAAATATGTCAAATGTTAATTGATGCTGTATTTGAAGAAGTTTGCTTTAGGTTGTATATTTTCTTCTATTTAGTGCAGCTAACCATGAAGTCTTGAATTTCTTGGTAGATTTTTTCCCTGAACTTTCTGGATCTTGGAAAACATTAGATATTTCCCAAATCCTGGCCTTGAAATTTAAGCCTTATCATTCTGTAACCTTATCCTGTAACTGTTGCCCCAAGAACCTTATTGTGAACCCTTCTTTGTGAGTTGCGAATGCTGTTATTTATGAATGTACAAGCTACACGAAGGTGAACTGAAATTACTCTTGGTTGGCTTATTTTGCAGACAGTTAACCAACGGCCAGTTGGAGATTGTAACAGGAGGATGGGTGATGAATGATGAGGCAAACACTCATTATTATGCCATGCTGGATCAGATGATTGAGGGGCATCAGTGGATTGAAAAAAATCTTGGTTCAGGTGAAGAGATAAATATGAATTTGTTTTTAAGGATGCAATATGATCCCAAGAAAAGGAAATGTTACAATCCTAAAACATAGAAAAAGAAACAGTATTTCAGTCAAAAATGCCTCTTTGTGTCTGTAGCTCTGTAGTTGTTCAAACATATTGTTGAGTAGTGCTCCTGGAAGTTCATTGTGTTTTCAAAGTCACGGTTTGGCAGCCAAAAAATCACAAAAATGGTCCCCAGGTGACCAAAACTGTTGTGTATGTCTTTGGATGAAATGAATTATTTTGAATGTATTTATTATAAGGAATTAAGCCGATGTCTGGCTGGGCCATTGATCCCTTTGGACACACACCCACAATGGCTTATCTTCTGAGACGCATGGGTTTCCATTCTATGTTGATTCAAAGGACGCATTATCAGGTGAAAAAGCATCTTGGGAAGGAGAAAAATCTTGAGTTTATGTGGCGACAGAACTGGGGTAAGTCATATGTCCAAATAATCACCTATTATGACAAACCAAAAATGTAGCAGATCAAAGAACAGTTTATAACCTTTATAGGGATCCTCTAACCCAAGCAATTTCCCTAAAAGTGCTCAGTCCATCATTTTTTTGAAGACTAAACGGATTCAAACTGAAAACTGATGTTCCATTTAAGTTGTCAGAAACCTTCCAATGTCTTGACAACAGTACATTTAGATGCTGTTGGCCCTAATGTTTACATTTTATTAGTCCTTTAATCCCCAAGAGTGACTAGCAGCTAATTTCTCCATACAGTATACCACTGATTAACAGTAGAGGTCATGAGAATCAAAGGTTGAAATGATCACCAGCTAAAGGAGCTCTTGAATAATAAAAAATTCTCCTTGTCTGTACCATAGGAAATGCGTAGCTTTAGAACAGTATAGAAAATATGTACACTGATGTTAGAGACTATTAAGAAATTCATTTTGAAAATATAATGCCAGTAATTATGAATTTCAGATCATGGATCATCAACTGACATGTTTTGCCACATGATGCCATTTTACAGTTATGATGTTCCTCACACTTGTGGTCCAGATCCAAAGGTATACATTATGACTTAGTAACTGATGTTGATCTGTGATGCCAGTTTCTTTTTAAAGAATCTGTAATATGTTAATCTGTTACCAAGAGAACCTACTTAAAAGTAGGTCTCTTTGCAACAGATTACAGTTTTGCTTACTTTGATTCTAGATTTGCTGCCAGTTTGATTTCCGTCGTCTGCAAGGTGGTGGTATAAGCTGCCCATGGAGAGTTCCACCTGTGAGAATTGACGATTACAATGTTGCATCAAGGTAAATTGTTACTGGTGACTGTTTTATTTTATTTAGTGCTTTTCACTTGTCTGAGGGGTGTCAACTTTAAATAAGACCAAGAGCAATAGTTGGTCAGAACAAACTTTAAGGGAAGTAATTCAAGTCGCTAAGTGAAAATATAAAATGACACAATTGTGAAAGTTAAAGATTGAGCTCTAAACATGGAAAATGCAATTCATGACGTTGTAGTAAGAGTAGCTTAATCCTTTAACTCCCAAGATCTGACTGTTAATTCTCACCTCTATCTGCTACACATCTCCTTGTACATGTAGATTAATGATGAGAATTTGTTGTGGGATCAAGATAACAACTCCTCCCTTGAGTATTCTTGTTAATTGTTTGCTGGATAATGTACGGATATTATTAATAGAAGAGAAGCAATATGTTAACCGTTTCTTGGAATTACAGAGTTAATGAAAACACAAGTTTTCAAGTAGCAGTAGTGAGTTTTTCTTATCATTACTTGACCACAATATTCATTCCAATTTCTGAGCAGTCACAGGCTGTTTTGCAATGCTATTTAAGTGTGTATTAGTGGAATTGGTTTTAAAACATGGTATCTGTCATAATATTCATGGCGAGAAGCATCCTAGATTACTAGTCAAGTGTCAATGTATAACTTGCCCTTTACGTATTTTGATATACTTATCATTATTAATAACTTTTACCTCACAGAGCCAAATTATTGTTAGATCAGTACAAGAAGAAAGCTCAGCTGTACAGAAGTAATGTGTTGTTTGTACCTTTGGGAGATGATTTTCGATATGAGACAACATTTGAGACTCACGAGCAGTATACCAACTATCAGGTACAGTGGACGTGCCTCTTCTTTGAGGTTTCACCTGTCTACACAAAGAAAAATCCATCTGTTTTCTACAGAAATCCCAAGCATTTGACTGTTGGTTAAATAAAAAAAAGGCACATAAGTATGGACAATGCTCAAAAGTCATAATCCAGCTGAGTGTGTTAAAAAAAAAAATTAGCTCACAATACCCTTTCTATTTGAAACATGTTCTTTACCAGTACAACTTGCAAGCTATTCGGTGCTAACCTGTTTATCCTATTTTCAACTTCAAACAGAAACTTATGGACCATATCAATTCTCATCCAGAACTGAAGGCAACGGTATTTATTTGCATTTTAGTGGTTTAACTTATTTGATATCAATAATACAAAGTCAAAAATAAATACATACCGGTAATTGAAATAACAAACTTATGACAAATCTCTGGCTTGATAATAAATATATGTATGCATTTTGTTAGTAGTTGTTTCAGCTTCATACTTGTCTTGTTTTTCCTGAAGATGTTTTCCTTAGCTTACTTGATGCAATTAGTCAAAACTGATTTAGCCTTAGGTTGATTTGTGTTTTTCATAGTCATTTCACTCTTGCTCTAATGTGTTGCTGTTGATCTCAGGTACAATTTGGGACTTTGAGTGACTATTTCAATGCACTATGGAAAACCACAGGTATGAAACCAGCAGACATTCTCATTTCCTCATGGTAATTGTGAATGTAAATGATTATTGTATGTTTTTGAAGTCATGAGCAGCCAGGGTCAAAAGAAGATTTAACTCTTAACTCTTCCACCCACTGTACTTTTTTTGTAATCTTCTATTCCTGTTTGAATTTTACATGTGGTGTTGCTAAGTCTGTCAGGTATGCCTTGCTCTAATGTAAAAGATGGAAATTATTTGTAGGTACTGAGCCTGGAGGCCAACCAAAGGGGTTCCCAGCTTTGAGTGGTGACTTCTACACTTATGCAGACAGGTAAAATTTACCAGAGTTGTGCTTGTGGGTAGTTTTATTTTATATATTAATTATTTGTCATCTCTACCATAGCCTACGTGTAGCCGAACCTTCCCTCCCCTCCCCCCCCCCAGGTGAAACGCTTCACCTTTGGGGGGGGAGGGAATGGCTACACGTAAACTATCTCTAACAGTGAGTCAAACGACATAAAATATTTGTAAAAATGTAATAATCTGAGTTATTTATGTTGCCAAAACCACTTTTTAAAGAGTGAAGCAGAGCCTGTGTTTTGTTGGTTGTTATTCTGCACATCGGCTGTAATCAGTGTCTTTTCTCAACTTCGTTTTGTATATATTGGCAAATGGCACATTTGCATATGCGATATGTGGTTAAATAAAGTTACTTACTTATTTACTTATTTGTCTTTTGTGAGATTAACGTTGTTTTATTTCAGTTATGATCTGGTTTATTTCTTCAAAGTTTGTTCACTCTTTCACAGGGATGATCACTATTGGAGTGGATATTATACATCCAGACCATTCTACAAGAATATGGACAGGGCACTGGAAACACAACACAGGTTTGTATCTTTAAATTGCATCCTAAGAAGTTCCTTAGGTTTGATAGTGCTCAGTTTTGCTGCAGCTGCAAAAAAAGGTTAAGTCTGTTCTCGAGCCTAGTGGACCATTGAGCCGGAGTTTATCCCAGTTTCCTTAGTGTGAAGCAACTAGTATTACAAGTAACAAGTATTACTACTCTCGCCTGGATGGCATGCTAGTCCATGGCAAGGTTACCCCCCTCTTTCCCCCCCGCATTCCATCAAGCTTCCTTGATAATTGGGCGGGACCCATTATTTATACTTCTGAGTGGAGAGAGGCTCCATGAGATTTAAGAGTCTTTCCAAGAACACAACGCCATTACTTAGCCAAGTTTCGAACCAAGATCTCTCGAACAAGAGACTGGCACACTTATGCCATAAGGCTTCTACATCTCCCACTTGCTACAGCGTTTGGCCAAATTATTTATCTCATTGTCATTGAGACACGTAAACATTTATCTGTCATGTTCCCTTTTTTCTTCTTTTCTAATTTTTTTCTCCAGGGCTGCTGAAATAATATTCTCAGTGGCAGAGTCCCATGCTCGCCACCATGGAAGTTCCAGCTTCGCTGTGGAGCAGCTCTATGGTCTTCTCACTAATGCACGTAGAAACCTGGGCGTATTTCAACATCATGATGGTATCACTGGAACAGCAAAGGACTTTGTAGTTGTTGATTATGCCACAAGGTGCGCGTATGTGCGTACGTGCGGGCGGCCCTCATTATTTAATAGCGCTGTATCACGCGCGTTTCTCCGCCGGCGAGAAGACTTGAGACGTGTCGGTGAGAAGTTGCAGGGCTCTGGCACTTATAACATAAGTCCCAAACCCCTTGTAGACCTCTCGCCGACTCGCTTTGCTCTAAAAAACCTCGTACTTTCCCGTGGGCAAAGATACGCTCGTTCCAAAGCGCTGATAATGAGGTTCTGCTCGTAGTCTAGTAATAGCGCCCAAATATTATCTGGGAGGCATGGGTTCGAATTACGTCGAAACCTGAATTTTTTTAGCCCTCTTTTCTGCAATTGCTTCTAGGATCCTTCTTTTCTTGAGTTATTATGCTTGTTGCGGATTTCTTTCTTTTTTTTTTTATGAAGTTGTATGCTTATATTATTTAAACATCGTTGTAATTTAGAGAGTTTTTAATATCCTTTAGGATGCTCCAATCTTTGAATGACATGCAGCGAGTGATACAGGACTCTGCCCACTTTTTGTTGACATCAGACAAATCGCACTACAGGACACCAGATAAAGTGTTACCGCCCCTTAAGTTTGTACGTATCGTTTTTTTGTTTTTGTTTTTGCAGTTCTTTTTAGCTTAGTTTACTTTAATTTCCAAGGCTGCGAGCCGACGCACCATCGAATGAGCAAGCGAACGGAAGAGCGAAGGAGACAAAACAAATGTTGAGGAAAAATAAGAAGAAACCAATGATAAAAGCAAGCAGCCAGCCAATGAAACAACCCGTAACTAAACCATCCTACAACCACCAGCCCTTTTATCTAATTTCGCTCAAATTGTAGTTAAACCGTTTCGTATTACTTTGTTCAGGGTGAATCCAGACAAGCTCAAGATTCTATGCCAACTAAAGAGGTGCTAACTTTGTCCAATACACCAAGGTATGGTAACTGTTACGTATTATAAGAGCACTTTTAAATTCAATAGTATGAAAGCAAATCAAAAAGGCGAATGATAGTGAATATATATATATATATATATATATACATCACAAGGACGCAAGAACTACGAGCGTGGATAGCGAAGAGCTACTTATTTCTTCATAATAGGTTATTGTCACGTTTTTGGGCCCGACCATGCGCAACACCCCTTATTATCCTTGTGATTTTGAACTGAAAACCCAAAGGAAACACCTCCACAACATATTCAGCGTCAATATATGAACACAAAAACATAAGTAAGGACATGTAAACTGCCTCGAGAGTAGGAAAGCACGAGTGCATGATCGAATAGTGGCTTGTTTTCGATCGAGATCTGATTGGTTTTGATTATGGGACTAGAGTTCCATACTAATCTGAGAGCGAAGGAAAGCAAAGCATATGCAACCGAAAGATATAAAACCACTCTATGATCAGCACTCGTTGAAAGCCGCCTTGACTTTTATCACGAAAACAAGCAATCGAGGAATAACTGAAAATGAGAGTGATCTTCGCAGCAATGAACACTACTTAAGCAGTAGTGATAGAGAGGCCTAAAAAATATTCAGGCCTGTATGGGAGTTGAACTCATGACCTTTGCGATTTATTTTCAGGTCTTGTTTTCCTTACTGCTTAAGCAGTTTCATTACTGTGAAGATCACTCTCATATTCATTTATTAATCCGAAGTTTACATACATGATATTCATCTATTCACAGTTATTCGAGCAATAGTCAGGTCTTACAGACATAACCTTGTTATTATAGGGCTTTAGTATTTTACAATTCCCTGACTACAGAAAGAGAGCAGTTAGTCAGCCTTCACATCTCGGACCCAGCTGCCATGGTATGTTCACTGAATTCAGTTTTTATAAAAGTACACAGGCTCTCTACTTTTCAGGTTTTGACGGAATTATTCCATAACAGCTCGCAAACAGCCTCTTATTGACACCACTGAACGGGAAACTCACGGGCTTCTCGTGAAGTCTGCGAGAGTCGAGCTGGTAAGCAAACGACGGGTCTGTCACTAGAGCCCTTGCAGACCTCCCGCGAAGCTCTTGAAGCAGCGCCAATGATTTAATGTGTCCAATTCTTGATTGATGATGAAAAGTTATTCCTTTCTGAATTGATTGCCTCTATCCAGGTTAGTGACAGTCAAGGAAAGGAAGTTCCAAGTCAGGTGAACTTATGGTGGGATCACAGAGACAGAATTTCAGCTGCTAAATACGAAGTAAGATGTGCTATCATGAAGTCAGGTTGATTGCTTGTAATATTACCACCAGTTTGGGGAAAGCGCACGCGAAAGCATCAGTGTCTTTAATAGTCGAGATAAAAAGCTGATGGTCAAAAGTCACTTTTCACGGCCGATGTGATCCCTGAATTCAACAGGTGCCGTTCCACAAATCCCTCCCCCGCCTTCCCCGCACCTTCCAAAAGGAACCAAAATATAGGTGAGTGACAAGGGAGGAGATTTAGGAGCGGATTAGAGATGGAGGGGGGAGAGGGGTTTACAAGTAGTCACTTTTCCATGTAGGGTTCCAAGCTCTCTTGAGTCAACTCTTCCATGCAGTGATAATTGTATTGATGGCTCAAAGCAAATACAGGTTGATTCATTTCACCCATTTTGTGTATTTCAGCTCGTGTTTGTCGCCAAAGTTGCCCCTCTGGGTGTGACCACGTACTTTGTGTCATCAGGCCTCGGAGCAAAACAGAGTGAATACTCCAGTATCACAGAATATAACACAAACAGAAATCCTGAAAAACCAAGGTGAGGGTTGAACAAAAGGGGTACGTTTCTAAATAAACTGTGGTGCGGCGTCGGTGGGGAGAAGTATAAGATGATTTGGTCTTATCAACTGACAGAGTTAATAGTGAGGCTGACGTTTCGAGCGCTAGCCCTTCGTCAAAGCAAAAGGCGAGGGCTGTTGCACTTATTTAAAGATCAAGTCATGATTGCTCAAATTAAGTTTTTATATTTCATTTTACTTAACTTTGTATTGTGCAAAATTGGCTATGTCATAATTTGGCGACTATGCCGTGGACAAGGAACCAAAATGACCCTGGGCTCGAGATTGTTTCCCCGCCGAAAGAAGACTTCAGAGTAGGCTACCAATTACATAGCCTTTTCTCGCCAAATAACACTGTAGACAGTGACCTCAACTTCCTTTTTTTTTTTTTTTTTTACCCAGTAAGTGCTTCTTCCACCGAAATTCGCACTTTAAATCACGTATTAGTTACATTGTTGTTTTAGGAAGGAATTTGCGCATCAAGTGAGGGAACCTGGTTCAGAAAGCATCTTCTTGGAAAATGACAATCTTAAAGTTGAATTTGATAGTCTTCGAGGTTTGTTGAAGGTGAGGTAGTTTTCTCCAGTTGCTTGCTTGTGTCTTATGTTCAGTTCTGTTCATATTTTGTTTACATTTTTGTCAAAAACCAAGGTACATTTTAACCTTTGAATAATCACTTAATTCGTCGTGTTCCAAAGTTACATAGAAACTAAAATTAGACTTTTTCTACCCATCTACTCCACTCTGTTTCGTCCACCGCTGTTTATGTAATTTAGTTTCGCGGCAATCTGAAAGTTGAATGTAAACACAGTAAATAAAAACTAAAGAAAAAGCTCTTCGGGACAGATAACATTCAGTACTTTCAAGGAACGGGCCACTGGCTTCACATGCGAGTCGAGTTTGTTATTTTTTGTCGTACTAGTCCTCAGGGGTTTTTTTGCCCTTTACAAAACCCAATGCTAGTCCAACTCGACTCATGAAACATTAGACTAGGAGCAGCTAAAAAGATGCGCCACTGCTAAAATCCAATCTTATTTACTTGTTGCGTTTAATTAAATTTCAGAGCATTACACATAAGCAAGACGGATCAGTAACCAATGTTGCCATTGATTTTGTGTCGTATGGCACCACAGCGAGCAGGGATAGGAGTGGAGCGTATCTGTTTCTCCCTGACGGGCCTGCTCAGGTCTGACTCGACATTATCTGCAAGTTTAGGAGCCCTACGTGTATTTTGCGCCGGGAAATAGGTCATCCTCATCGGTGAATTCTTCCCGAAAGGAAGGATTTTCTGGTGTCCTACTTAGATCAGAAATTATTGGATTTACTGATTGAAAAGATGGTTAAGTGACGTCATTTTAATTTCAAAGACTCGCTTTTTTGATTTTCTACTCTTATAAAATGGCGATTTTTGATTGACGAAATTTCAGTTTATTTTGAGCGAAAAGGCACTCATAGTTTTCCCAACGGAAGCGTGATTATCAAATTAAACTTGAAAGTTATGACATGGATTCATTGGGAAGAGTTTGAGTGCATATTGTTGTTTTTGGTTAAATAAGATACCGTTTTCAGGAGCATGGCCATGGAAGTGCAGAAATGATAAAAGCTATTTCAGAAATCAGCTTCGGATTCTGCTAGAATTCCCAAATTTTAAATATTTTTAAAACTGTTACTGCTCAAACTCGGGTGAATTTGTACTTGACTTATGTTCCCATGGTGTATCGTTTCTCTTGTGTATTTGTAGGCTCATGGCCTTGGAGAGCAGGTTACAGTGTATGTAAGCAAAGGCAAGTTGGTGAGTAATTGATATCATTAGGTTGCACGTTACCCAGCTGCCTTCTAGCCATCACAACATTCGTACATGCGCAGACGTTTGACCGCTTTGTAAACAGTACGTCACATTTTATGGTCTTTAGTCTATTTTGCGGCTGTTGTTTGGTCTCGTCACGAAATGGAGAACAAATTGCCCGACAAGACCAAACGACTGCGGTCAAGAGAACTACCCGACCCAATCTTCTTTTTTTGACTCGACCCAATGTTCCTCCTACTTTTGCTCCGCCGTTTCTATCGCGTTGTTTCGTATTGTGTCTCGTAAGCTTCATTTAACCTTGCAGTTTTAAAAGTGGTGGGGCTTTCCCTTTAGTCAATTATTGTACACACCTTGAAGATGAGTAAATACAGGGTAATTTCAACTGAATTAAAAAATTGTGTTTGGAAAAAGAGATTTTACGTGATTCCAAGCATGCAGTGGGTGAAAATAAAGATAAAATAGGCAAGGCTTGGTATCTCAGTATGCGCGTTCTTCGACTACGTCCAATTTTTCAAAATAAAAATATTTCATTTTTGCTTTTCATGGAAAGATGCAAGAAGTACGTGTTGCTCTTCCCAATGTGGTGCATGTAGTCAGACTGTACTCACTATCAGGTAAGTAAGCACTTGTTTGATCCTACTTACGGCGGTATGTTTCAATGTACATGAGATAGTTTGACATCCTTACGTGTTGCGAAAAGTTTTACTTGTAAAAGTGGGCGAAAGTTGCTCACGAGATGTGTATTCCCAGATGACTACAGTTGCAAAAAAGGATGTGAAATAAGTAGAACAAAGTTTTCAAACTGTGTTTAACAGAACCTTAACTCTATTTTCCACGTTTTGATTTGCCACAGGACCTGAAGGACTAACTCTGGATATCCAGAACAAAGTAGACATACGAAATCAAATGAACAAGGTATATTGCAAAGCATCGGGGTCCCAGCATCTTTTGCTTTTATGATAAGCTTTGTCGCTGAATAAAGAACAGAGGATGATGTTCATTTTCTTTTTATGCAGGAATTGGTGATGAGAATAAAAAGCGGTATTCGGAACGCTGGCCGAGAATATTACACTGATCTTAACGGATTTCAGGTGAGGAGTGGACATAAAGAGCCGATGTTTTCAGTGATGAAAACCTTATGCGGCGCATTTAGAAAATTGAAGGACGTCGAGATTTCTTTATAAATAGGTTAATTGATGTACGTTTATGTCTTTCCAGTATAATCTTTCTTGACATCAGTTTGATCGTTCTTAACACTGTTCAATTACTTTTTTCACTAAAGATGCAAAAGCGCAAAACACTTGACAAGATTCCTATCCAAGCCAACTTTTACCCTCTCCCTTCCATGGCTTTCCTTCAAGATAAATCGACGCGTTTGACACTTCTGTCAGCTCAGTCCAATGGAGTAGCCGGTCTACACGAAGGTATTGCTGTTTTGCTTGAGGCAGTTTTTTCCACACTCGTTGCGAACTAAGAGAACATTCATTATTCATCGCCTGAGGGGGTTTGGAGGATTTTTTTAGGATTAGTTTTCAGAGGGGACGGAAGAGTCAGTCGTCGCCAACAGAGTATAAAGTGGAACTGTAAAAAAATGGATTGCTAATGAGCTGCCATTTAGGAGTAATCATAAGGATATTACACAGCCTTATGGGGGAACAGGTCAATTTTAACAAGTCCTTTGACCACCCCCGCGATAAAAAATGACTGGTCCTTAAGATTGGCTTTTTAAAAATGGTGATATGTGCTTCAGCCAATTACTGAATGAAAATACTTAAATGTACACCGGCAAGCCGGTAAATCATGGAATGAATATTGGGTTGATAAAACACTAAATTCTTGGTACATAGTACTTGGCCAAAAAGAAACGTACGCTCTACAGTAAGAGGAATCATTTTTAAGATCTCAGAAGTAAAAGAGCCATTACTTTTTTTTCTTTATTTATCTATGTAGTATATTATTTGCAACACAGGTGAACTTCAAGTGGTTCTTGATCGCCGTTTGTACCAGGATGATAACAGAGGCTTGGGTCAGGGCGTGACTGACAACAAAGTTACCCCCGCTAACTTCAGGCTGGTTCTACAGCGATTCAAAAGTCCACATGAACCTGTAAGTAAAACAGCATAAGGAAGCTTATTAAGATAGGCATGGTGGTTCACTGAAGCGTCCTTATCAAGCTTAGCAGTAACATCTTGTGTTTTGCAGGACGGTATTCCACTTGCCTACCCCTCCCTCGTTAGTCACAGATTGCTGCACCATCTTAATCACCCGCTGTTCACGTTAATAACTCCAGCTCAGCCCGCTGACTCCGAGAACCTGCTGTCGGTTTTCGAAAGTTTACAGTCCAGTCTACCCAGTGATGTCTTCATGGTCACCTTGCGCTCAATTGGAGATAAACAGCGGCCTCGACCCAGTGGCGAGGCTTTGTTGGTACTTCACCGTCTAGGATATGATTGTAATTTTGAATGCAAGTGCCTCACAACGACAAGTAAAGGACAGGTGAAAAAAGTCGAGCATTAAAAAAATGATCTAAATTAAGGGAAACTTAGATGAAGAGAGAGACAAGGTCCTTCGAGGGCTCTGCGGTTTTATTTTAAGCTGGGCAGTGGTAATCTGCAATAGAACCTGAATTCATGTTAGGGAAACGAGGAAAAACTCGAGTTTAGGACTGTATCGACGGAGCCAACTTCTGTTCCCTCTCTTAGATATTGAATTGGAAACGCTTTTTTCCACAACTGGTTGTAGGCAGACTCAACGAAATTTCGCGAAAGTCATCACCAATGATTGGAAGTGTGGCTGACATTCCTTTTTTTTGGTTAATTTCACAGGTGAAGTTAAACCATTTGTTCCAGGATCTGTCGATCGACAAACTCCAGTCGACTTCTCTGACGATGTTACATGACTACCAAGAATTGGATCCCAGCTCCCCTCTGAACGTAGAACCAATGGAACTTTATTCTTACAAGATGAGACTCAAATGATGACAGTTTATATATTAGTGGTTGAATTTTACATATTTGATGCACCCTGCAAAAATAATATACACAGACACTTTCATATAGAATTTCCTGGTGAAAGTAAACAGATCCGCCGTGTTTGAATGAAAAAGAAATTTCATGACCCTCCTAAGGTCTGTCTACTGATCAAACATTGACTGAAAAAAAGCTGGGCAGTTTTACTACACTAGAGTGCTATATAGGAGAGTGGTCCTATGTTTGTGTACGTGTAAACCAGTCTAGTTAGATTAACGGGCTTATGCTATAAAATTTGAGATCTACCATAAATACTCAGGGCTGCTTGGTTCGAAAGCCGGCTAATCCAGGGAGAAAAGTTATACTTAGTTTAATTTCTCTTGTACAAAAGCGACTAGTATGCCAAAATTTTAGAGATTTTAACCTTGTGGCAAAACTTATCTCAACAAAATATAAACAGTGAAACTCTGCGAACTGAAGAAAAACTCAGTTACTCCTAACTAAGTCTTACCTAATCGTGTTCTGAACAGCTCGACTCAGAGTTGTAACCGTCAAAGCTATTTATACAAGGACCTTCACTGACTACAGTATATGGATAATAACGTTAAGGGCTCGATTCTTGTTTTGATTGGTTTTAAGCACGTGGAATGCCGCTAAGCAAAACGTGCAAAATAATAAAATAAACGAATAACAGATAATTGTCCTGATGAGGAACTGCTAGCTTTGTAACAAACTTAATCGACCATTTTCATATCAGACCAAACACACTAACAAGAAACAGTTTTGAATTAAGTAATGGTATTCAACTCTAGCACCGTGAGGACAGCGAATGCATTCATAGAACAAGCGTATTAAGAGGAACGATCCTGTCTTTTCCATTCTAGCTGCTGTGGTCTCTGTCTATTTCACACCTCTCGACATAATACTAGAGAAGATAGACAGTTTACAATCTCTAGCACAAAAGTAATCTGCATTTAACAAAGGTAGCAAAACATTGAACAAGTAGACAAATGTATATGGAGCTATATTGTGAAAAGGATAGAATCTTTAACTCTCAATGAATTTTAATCAATTGAATTAAAAATAAAAATCGACGTATTTTCCTGGTGTTGGTTGATGAGATTTGATGAACAAATTAAAACATGATATCTCTGAGATTATTCAATGCAGGAACAACCTCCTTCCTTTTTCTTGTGTGAAAACGAATGTCAACTCGATGCAGAATTCTTCGTGAAGTGTCTTTGCTGAGCAAGGCTCTTGTTAACGGCGCAATGCTTGTGTTTCATCTCCTAGTTTTCCACATCTCTTTATTTTTTTATACTTTAAAATTCAATGAGCTTTTTTTTTTTAATTTATTTGTTTCTTTTTATTATTATTTTTTTTCATTATTATTATTTTTTTACAACATGATACTTACATTAACTACATTAAGGTTCCTTTCACGAGACTCTCTACGTACATTGCGTTACACTACTTACAGTATTCTTAAGATACAATTGGCATTTATGCTATTTACATTGTTCTACATACAATGAGATAATGCACACATATTTAGAGGCACATCATTTACACATACACACAAAAAAAGAGAAACTTATTCACAAAAAATTAAAAGTTACAAAAGTCAAAAAGGCTAAATTGTGGGTGGGATTGATAAGAGTAAGAGCTTGGGGAAAAAAAACCCAAAAGTACAACGTTTAGCAAAAATTGATTTTCAGATCAGCATAAGGAGAGTAAGATAAAGCCTGCGAGCACATTTGGAGCCCGCCCGCAAACTATATAGCAATTATAGTGCATGAAGTATTTTGTCCCACTTCTGTTGAAATTTATTTGGTGAGTCAGTCACGATAGATATTTGTTTTTCAATTTCTAAATTATATTTCAGCTGTTGCGCATATTCTCTGATAGACGGAGATATGTTCTTAAATTTACAGCAATAAATATAATCCCTTGCGAGGAGCAAACAATGGCTTACTAAAATATCCTCTTTCTCTCCGGCTAAAACCTAAACATTCATAGATATCCAAAACGTGTGAGGCTTGTATCAAATGAATTGAAACGAACAAACGATGAACCCTTCCCCAAAAGGTTTTCGTTACCGAGTATTCCCAGAAAAGATGGATTAATGTTTCCTTGCCTGTTTTTCACAAATAACAGAGAGCAGTCTCCAAAATTCCTATTTTAGATAGAAAGGAATTCGTTGCTATACGTCTGTGGAGAAATTTGAACTGGAAGTTCCTTATCTTAGTACTGAGCGTACACAACCTTGGTATTAAATAAATCGACCTCCAGCTCAAATCCTCCACCACTCAGTTCAAGGTCACAGTCCCTTGCCCATTTTTCTTGACTCTTTTGGGGGCTAGTAGAATTTTTTGTATTTAAATTTTACATGCTAATTTAGTCGGCTTGGTTGTTGCAATCAGTTTTTGCACCGAAAACCCCTGATCCTTTCCATCTTGCGTTTTCAATTTCAAAGACTTCATAGCGCTCCTTATGGCCGAGGTCACTTCATAAAATTCAAGATAAGCAACATTTCTCTCTAAACTCTCCATAAGTTATGACCCTAAAATCGTTAACAAGATCTTTGATATTTTGAACACCAGCTTCTGCCCAGTGCTTGTGAAAAAAAGGCCTATCAGTAATTCTGACTAATGAGTTATTCCATATTATACCACCACTACAAAAGTCGCGTTTGGAGAGGAAAGAGTCTCCAAAATTAAAGTCCACCCAGATTTCGATAGGTTCTCGGAGAGCTTTGAGCTTTCTGAGTGACCCTGCTCGCGTTATTCTAGTAAAGCAAAGCAGCTGTGGGTTGGCAGACAGTAAGAGGAGTTAATTAAAATTGATCATACCGCAAGAGTTGTCAGAGCTCTCTACACTGTGGTCGGGGTTCAAGGAAACGAGATACACTGTTAAGTTGTAATCCACTTACAGGAACACAAAACATGCTAAGCCCGGCCCACTCGTTTAGGCTTCAACCGCAGGATTTACCAGTCCTAAGTGTCGAAAACGAAACACCGGTTCTTAGAAACTTCGTTTTCGAGTTAGGGTGCTTTGTTTTTGAGTTTAGACAATGTTTTGGTATTCGTTTTCTCTGAGTTTCTTTTTTGTTACTACCGGGATCTACCCCGGATATGAATAGCAGACGAGGGTGAGAAAAGATAGATAAACAAGATTTTTTAATTATCGTCAAGATCAAAACACTCGGCGAGTTATGTGTACTTATGTGTGGTCGATTTCCATGAGACGGTCTTTGTGTTTTACAGATGAGAGCACATATTTCCGTTGTCTTTAATTAACTGATCCATTTTCAAGGAGAGTCGCCAATTGAGGCTTTTCTGGTTAGCATTTCATCACCAACTGGAAACAAGGAATCTCTTTTAATAATTATTGTTTTAATTGTTCGGTTTTCCGTTTGCAATTTGCTTAACCGACCTTACAACATGAAAATAACAAGTCTTTAAGTTGATTCTTCGGATTTTGCCTTTCTCCATTACAGCGTACATCATGTTTTCAGAGATTGCCTAAGCAATGCGCCACCTTTGATTTATGACAAGAGGCCAACATTTTTTTCACCCATCCCCGTGATCTCTGAACGTGTTCCAAACCGCAGTCAAGGATCCATTTGATGAAAACCTAAGAGGAGCCGCATCACTGTTTATGTGTCACGCCTAAAATTAACCTTTTTTACATTGAAAGGCATGTGTGGTATTTTTTTAACTGTCCTACGCACGTATCAATCAGACAATTCTTTTGTTTCATTTCAAACTGGCCATCTTAAAATTAGGAATCTTCTTGAGCACATGTGATTATTCCTACCTGGCAACTTGAAATAATTAATTGTTTGAAAATGCGCCAATCTGATTTGATATTTTGTGGTATGCACTTATCAAGGGGAGGGCAGGGCAAGGCTATTGGCCGGGTTAAAACTTTTTGATTCACATGCCGGCAAATCAAAATCCAATGATGAGAACAGCATGCTGAGTGAGTAGTGGGGTTTGTGACAATTCCTGAAGGTTTTAGAAAAGCGGCAAATGGCTCTGATCTTCAAATCAGCTTGTTATTGTTGATTTTAGAGAGGTTTTCTCTGTAATCCCGAGGGACTAAGCCTATAGAGGGCGTTCCTTTGTTGATGGACAAGCGCTAAGACAAGTGTCACGCCTCATTGCGATGCAATATGAGATGAATTTCCTTTTGCATCCGCGGGGTTTCCGGATCAGTCTCGTTGCATTCGGACCGTACTTCGGCGGTGTGTTGTTCTGCCCCGGTCACAAACATTTGGGGATTCCTCCACGTACACAAATAACATTATTTTGCTTCAAAAAACCATCCTCGGTCGGATTTATAGCGCATTCAACAAGTAAAGACAGCGATTTAAAGTGGAAGCGAGGCACAGACGAAGCATACTACAATACCGCAACTTGAGGTAAACCGGGGAATACAAATATTATGCTCGCTAAGGAAATCTGTTTCGATGAAAAAGTATTTCCTTGGGTTATAAACTCTTCAAAATTTTAGATTTTGACGAGGGACGCCTTAAGTCAATGTGTTTTAATGTGGGTGACTCTTAAGTTTGAATGGAGCATGCTTCTCTTTGATTCTTTGTTGTTGTTGAATGGATCATGTGTGACAACATAAAACGAGATGCAACTACCATTGACCCCAAAGATTTTAGTATATCGGGTTTTTTTCAACGACTTTAAAGGATCTGCCGAGGCTTGTCTGTTTGATTTGATGAGTCGATCTTTACTGTAAAATCAGAAATCTCAGATGGAAACTCACAACTGTCTACAGTAACATGAACACGCGACATTTAGATGAATAATAAATTTCGTATTCCACAGGTGTCTGTTTTGTGAACTGACACGGTGAGAGTGGAAGCATCATGAAAGTCAGGTCGTTGTAATTTTTTTCGGGAAAAGAAACGCTTGAACAGAAGATCGGATCGCAAAAACTTCCATATCATAGAAACGGGCTCCATGGGTCTTGCGGTTGAGAGATGTTGATGGTTCTTTGTATTCACAA